GCTTCTGGTGTGCAGCCTTTGATGTGTTCTTCGACTTCCCCTCGCTGTTCCCTTCCTGCACAAACTCTTGAAGACTAGGAGAATAGTAATAGAAAAATCTCTCCTGATAATGAGGAGAGCGCTGCAAATATTCACAGCATGTCATGTACAATTCCTGGATCAGAGTTGCTGGGGGGACAGGTATTTTTAGTCAGAGAATTGTCACAAAATGGATCTTCTGGCAGGAGGATGTGTTTGGTTCACCACCAAAGGCAGAACAACTTAATAGTGCATTTTTGGATCTGTTTATGTTAAGTCAGATATTTGTATTCTGGATATTTTCCTTGTGAAGAGAGGATATTTGGAGTGAAAAAAAACCCAAAAACCAAACCAAAAAACACACACACTTAAGAAATAGGAAGTGTTGTTCCAGGATGATCACTGGGAGGAGCTGTTCATTACAGTTTTTATGCATTAAATCAGTGGCAAGGAAATGATGAGAGAGTGGGAAGGTGATGTGGAGGCAAACAAACTTAGTCATGAGTGGGGAATACTCTTAGTAGAAAGGGATCAGTGGTTTTAAAAAAAAAATAAATTGAAGGAGCAGCGACCTCAAGGGAAAATACCAATTCACTAAAGTTTTGAACTTCTCTTGTATATTAACTATTAAAGCAGAAGTGAAGTTGGGCCAGAACATTCCTGGTGGGAATGCACTGAACAGCTGCAGTTGTCCAGCTGGCCATTAATGTGCTGGAGATCCCATGAGTTCCAAAAGAGGCAGAACTGTTCCTGCCATTGGAATACTGACAGGATCTTTGTCAGTAGTCCTGTTACAGGGGTAACCCACCTCACAGAGACAGTTTGTGTTTGAATCCTGCTATGACTGAACGAAAGGGGAAAAATATTTGTAAAAATTCTCCACCACTATCTCCATAATCTCTACTTGAGTGAGCATCAGCCAAGTGAGAAAATGAAAAATTATAACCTGCCAAGCATCACTGGCAGACTGAAATGAAAAAATTGCAAGTTAATAACAGTGATGCCTCCAAAAAATTTGCTGGCCAATTTAACATTGCTTTATCCAAGGTCACATCTTGCAACTTATTATTTTTAGCAATTTGCAGATGAGGATTTTCTACTTTTCTTATGGGAAGTGAAGATCAGGGAAACACCAAGTACAGTTTTAAAACTCAAAGTTATCATCTCTTCATATCAAAAGTAAGTCATGTTCCCTTCTTGTTTGCTTAAGACTAGGCACACAGATTTTTTCCACTGTAATGAAATGGGACATTTATGCTATACTCTGTGACAGTGATGAAGTCAGTGTGACATGAAAACTCACAGTGGAGTGAGGTTGCTGAAAAAATTGAAAACAGGAAAAATTAGAACTTGAGTGAGTTTGTTCTGGAGCACTCCTGCTAGTGTTTATGTGATGTTTTTTTACGTAATAGTGTTAAAAGAGATTATGTTGCCTATTTTTGAGGTTAAAGGATTGTGAGCCTATTGCAGGCAAGTACACAATATTTAATGTAAGCTGTGTCCTGTGAAATGACCAAGGCACTTTAGTGGAACCTAAGGTGTGAAAGCCATTAGTGAACTGGAGCAGCATTTAATATCCTCCAGTACAATCTGCACAATCGTTTTAATATTACAGGGTAAACCTTGGTACAACATTTGCAGAGCATTGTCACACTGTCACTTATTTAAAATAGACCATTCTTCAACAATGGAATGTATCACTGGTGTGTGGAAATTCCTGCCCTAGGCTTGCAGTGCAAGGGGAAACCCTCTGTTGTTTTCATGTGGTTCTGTGGTCCTTTTAATGAAGGATATGCAACATCCTGATATGCTGAGTGCACACAGCAGTTCTTGGGAGATTTTGTGGTATGGTGGTTCAGAAATCTTGGCTGTGGGTAATTGTCAGCCACTCAGTGATTGCAGTGCAGAAAACATTGCAGCATTTCTGGCTGACATGGAAAGTGAAGGGCATTTCTTGTTGGAAGATTGATGGACCACCCTGTTTTTTAACGAAAAAGGTCTTACCTGTCATTTATAAAATTACTTGAGCATCTCCACTCAAGGACTCCCTAAAAGCATTTGTTTTTGTTCCTGTCTGTGTGAGCTGTGTAAGCTGGAGCTGTTCTGTGTTGAGAGAGGATTAACGTGCAAAAGGTGCCACTGGTGTTTGGTGACATTCTCCATGGTCAGCAGCCTGGGTGAAGCCTCAGCCTCCAGAACACAGTTTGCTGAGCACATGCTCAGTAGAAGCAGGGGATGAATTCCCAGCTGTATTTCCCAGCTCTCTGTGGAAGTTCCTGTTGGATCACTCACGTCCTGCCAGCCTTCTGAGATCTGACAAGATTGCAGCTTGAGCTGTTTAATTTTTCTTGCTGTCAGGCGATGCATCATGGTGAGTTAGCTCAATAGCCCTAATCCAATGTATACTGCAATGAAGCTGGGAACTTATCCATCAATACTTATTTCAGTAAGCAAAGTAAAATGAAGTATTTTTTTGACAACTTCTGTCCATTTCATTATCTCCTTTTTAATCACAAAACTGTCTCATATACAGTTTTCATACTTCCTTAAACTTTGTAGCCTGCCTGTTTTCATATACATCAGGCTGATGCCAGCATCTCTCTCCTCTCCCAAACAAGGTTCCATCCATGCATTAGGTTAATCTGTTGCATTCCTGCAGCAGAAGGAAGCTGAATCTTTCCTGATGTGTCCAGGCACCTCTAGAGTTAGGAACAAAAATTTCAGGGAGTAGGAGACTTCAAACGTGATGTTTTATTGCCTTGCCTTTTTTTTTTTTTCGTCTCAAAAGTAGTCTTGTATAAGGATATTTGCAATGCAAGCAAAATTGAGAAGCTTTAGTATTGCCATTCTTTAGCATCAGTCAGATCACTCTGTTTTACCAGACTGTGACAGGGTGTGCTCTGTCCCAGGCCAGACAGAGCTGCAGTTCCTGGATTATGCTCATGTTCAAAGTGGAATTTCCTCACTGAACTCTGTGATATTTCCCCACTTACCTTAAGGCTACTTTTTGTTTCTGCACAAAAATGTGTCTGTGTGTAATCTCTGTAAGTACACATGCTCTTTCCACCATTTTTATATCAATACAGTGGAGATTAAATTCCTCCCCTTTCTCTGTAAAACAATTTGCTAGGGTAATAGTTTTCTTTTAATGTTGCAAACATTAGGAGAGAAGGTAAGAAGAAGAAAAAGCATAGAGAAGATAAACTCATGGCTAGCTTTATGTATTTATCTTCACACCTTCTGGATCAGAACTGGATGAGCTGTCACTTTATTTACAGCAGCAGCGTTGGTTTAGATGCTCTGTTCTGCGTCTGCTGCACAGGAATTAAATGTCAGGGCACAACTTTGTTCTTACATACAAGCAGCTCTAGGGATGCATGGCCCTCTGGATGGAGGAGAGAGGATCCATTGTGATATGCAGTTGTAAAATTGCAGTTCTTTGCTGGCTAAGAGGGGTGCAGCAAGCTGTTCCCAAAACCAGGCCATTTTTTCTTGCACTTGTGAAAAGCAGAGCTTGACTCTCTTCGTTTTTCCTTTTCAGGAAGCTTAATGCTTTTGGGCTGTCTCCAGCCAAATGCTGATAATAGGCTCTATAAGGGAACTTTTGTGCAATGATTCTTTCAGCAAAGAAATGGCACGTAGCAAATATGGAACTGACCAAGAGAAAGGTAAGGTTAAAGCAAGCATTTAGACTTCTTTTTAAAGAGCTAGTCATAGTAGATTAAGGCCACTTGAACACACATTAACTATTTAAAATAGAATGGTAAAGCTTTACTTTTTTCCTGCAAAAATCCTCCAGAATATTGTTTTTCTGTTAGGGAACACTTATTTTATAGTCTTTTTCCTATGGCAGGTATTTATGTATGAGACTTGTAATTGTGCAAGAAATGGAAATATTTAATTTTAATTGACTTTCCTGACCTTAAAAGAAATGTAAATACTTGCAGACCACTGCATTTTGTTTTCTTCTGAAAACATTTTAAGGTTACGCACCTTGTTTTCATACTTTGGGAATTATTTTTTCAGTGGGCCTGTCTTCGTGTGTTTCTTTCAGAGGCTGACAGTGACATGATGGCAGAGATTTAAAATAGATACCCCCTTTGAAGCTTGTGTGCTGATTATTAAAGCGTGTGGAAAGGAGTTTTGTGACCCATTACAAAATAATTCTTTTGCCAACACAGAGCGTAATGCATTCTGATGACACTCATAATTGCAGTGCTTCCAGAGTAATTACCCTGGTAGTTCATTTTCCTATTGTTGGAATTCATATTTGTTTTATGTTTAACTGAAAACTGCATGCTTTGATCTGTGCAGGTGTTGAAATACTCATTGGGTTTAGGTGACAGCAAATGTCTATTTACTTTGCAGGTAAGCAAACATTTGGGTGTCTTACAGGCAAATGCATTTTTATCTCACCTGTGTGTGATATTACATCCCTGTGCAGCTGCATTTTCCCAAGTTGCAGCCAGCCCACGTAGTGGTGGATACTGGATGCTCAGGAGTTTATCCAACATATCAGGTTCCAGAGTTTGGAATTGTGCCAGAAACCAGATTTTGACCTCTGTCCTCAGATTCATTTGCTGATGTTGCCTCTCTTTAGTTACGTGTTACCTGTTTGTACCAGCTGAAGTACTTCCAGAGAAAAAGGAAATGAGTCTCCTAATTTTGAATTTTTGTCACTCCTCACTGAGCTGTGATGGAGCTTGCTCTTTCTTTTGGCAAAGAGATGCTTGAACTTTTTGTAACTGAAAGCACCTGGTTATGAAGTGCTAAAGCCTAAAGAAGGAAGGACATCTCTGTGCAGAGTGAAGAGTAAAGATAATGTGGTGGTGCTTTGACGCAGAATGGGAAGGCAGATTTGGGAGTAGAAATAAATAAAACGGCCAAAAAAGTTCAAACAGTGATGTCTGTGTGGGTGTGATTTCCTGTATTGAAGTCAGGCTTGTAAATCAAAAATAAAATAAACACAGCTTTCCCTGTAATGGATTTGGGTATTGTAGAATTTTTTTTTAATAGAGTTCATTTTTTTATTTTGAGGTTCAATTGCCCGAGTAAAAATAATTCCTCCATGTACTTTCTGGATGTGAAGTTTAATTAGACTGTCTTGGAAAGAGACATGGGACTAATATGAGCATTTTCTTGATGTGATGTCTGCACATTTTCACGAGTGGAGTAAAGGTCATTCCCCTGTTGGATGGGAAAGACCTTCCTAAAGCATATTGGCAACACTAGATTTTTCTGCATTTTTATTACAGTGGTGATTTCATCAAGGTTAAATTTAAATTCACAGCTAAAAATAGTATCTAGTTTGTAAAACAATTGCTAAATTAGCGGTTATTCAATGATAGTAAGTAAAAATTGGGCTGGTTGTAGAAGAATTCTTAGTGGAAATCAGTGTTCTCATCTGACCTTATTTTTAATCTTTTAAGAGCCTTCTTCTTTACAGCTGTTGTAATGGCATAAAGGAGTGAAGGTGTTCTTGTATGAGCAGATCTGGGGACTGGAAACTGCAGCTTGAACATCCAGTGGGTGGTCACTGGAGAGGAGCTCTTTTTGGTTATTATTAAAATACTGAACTAGCCAGTCATCAGGACCTGTTAATGTCCATATTTTTAGGGTGTAAATATTATAAAGGCAGTGCTTCTTACAGCAGTGCATTCTGAGGGCTTTTTGTGTGTCCAGGATAAAAATGCATGTGACCTTGGTTTAGGGAAAGTACAAGAACAAATTCCATGAATAGAAGCACATCTGAAAAGTGAAACAAAAAAATCCTTTTCTACAGATTAGGCCTGGTGCTTTTCTCCTCCCTTTCAAACATTTAAACACACTCTTTACATGATGCTTAAGCTTTTAAGTCAAAGTTATGAGGTGCTTTAGCCAGGCTTGAGCCTGAGAACAAGACCCAAACCAGGACAATAACAAAATGACACAAAGATTGACTCCACCGTGCTTGCTGGATGAAGTGAAAACTGATGAAATATAATTCCTATATCCTGGGATTTCACTGCCTGCTGGAACTAATCTCATTAACTTAAAACCACCTGAGGCTTAAGAGACATATACACTGCTGTGAGAAATTACATTTATCTCATCCTAGGGGGAAATCCTTTCCCTCCCCCGGCTTACCTTACTTTTGACTTTGTCATTCGTGAATTACCAGGTCATTTCTCCCCCATGGGAAAGTCGTCATAGCTCTCAGCGATGCAATTACTGTATCTGAAGTTCACTGCTGTATGAATGCTGAGATCACTGTTAGAGGGTTTTCTTCTTAAGTCATTTCCTAGAGAAAACAAAGACTGTAAAAATAATAGGTTAGCAGTTTACTTAAATAAAGTTCCTCCAGAGCTCCAGGAAAAGATTCCAGAGCTAAAAACATAGTGTAAGGCAAAGAGCTTACTGAAAGCATTAAGGTGTTTATTGCCTTTGTAAACCAAACAGTGAGTTTTCTTTAACCATTAAAGTTTAAGAGATTGGTGGCCTCTGATAAGTGGTAATTGGATGCAGAAATTTCCAATGTGAGGTTACAGTTTGAAATCCCATGAGTGTCGCCAGGGAGAGTTGTGGAGTTGAGTGGTTGATTGTTGCACTCCAGTTTGGATTGAATCTGCATTCAATATTAAATCCAGCCAGTAGAAATACTCTGTTTGACATCAAAGGATTTTGGATAAGGCTTTTACTGATAATCTGGTTGGACTTTGCAGCAAGGCAGAACGACCTTGTTCGAGTGTCTTTCAATGTGTGTCTATTTCTGAAAAAAAAAAAAAAAATCAATTTTGGGTTATCCATTAAACAGCTCAAATATAAAATTATATTAGGAAAAGAAAGTAACGTAAAAACAGAGAGAGCTCTGAAAACCATATCCTGAAGGCCTGATCTCTGAGATGGAATGCAGAAAGCCTTATGCAGTGGAAGCTTTTTGTGGTGAGCCTGGCCCTTGGGTGCTGCTCCCAGAAGAGGAGCCTTGGCGTAGGGAGTTTGTGTTGTGGAGGTGGAAGTTACTGTCAGTGAAAGGGAGGTGCCAGCCTCTGTGACTGAGAGAAATGACCACTGAGCCAAACTGCATGTCATTTTTGTAAAACCCAGCTCAAAAGGTCATTTGTGGATTTGAATGATGGGTCTGTCAAAGTTCACTGTTTACAGTGGTTTATTGGCCCTAAGTGACCATTTCCCAACCAGCCATTTAAATTGTTCTGTGTTGATAATGTGTGTATAGGGACAACAATAGATGCAGTTGCAATTGCAGACCAATTACAGTAATTAAAAATGATAATATGAGCCTTTGTTTCTCTTTCATCTTCACGGGATGAAACTAATCTGGTCTGTTGATGGGAATGCCCCATTAATCCTCTGTTAATGCCCTATATTTAAGGGCCTACAATGAAGTGTGTATGAGCAAATAGTGAAGTGCATTAATGTCTGTGGATTAGGACTCCTTGTAATTATGGTGCTAATTATGTGTTGTTGTGATCTTGTCTAGATGTAAGTGAATTTGGTCAAGTGTATTTTTTTGATTTTGTTTAATAATGAGTAAGTCAGTGAAGTTACACATGGCTGTTGCTATTGTGTTATTAAGAATAGAGTCTGTAGGGATGAATGGTTGCTGAACTCTAGTGTACATTCCCTTTTCAGGTCTGCATAAATGAGTGTAGCATATTCCAGTTTATTTAGTGATGGACAGGCTGTTAGCTCTTAAAATAGCTAAGGAATAGGAATCTGACACCTTGAATGATTTATGTGTTTTCTTTGTAAGCTTGTTTCTGTTTTGTAACCTTTAAAATGTGGGTTTTATGAGCGATATCATTAAAATTTATACTCCCTCTAGTATGTGATGTTAGTCATTATTGCTCTGCTGTGCCTCCAGATCACCTGTCTGAATTACAAAGCAACCTTCCTTGAAGCTAAATAATAATTTTTTTTCCAAATGTGTGCTGACTTCATTATTTTTCATTGGTACTCCCTTACCAGAGCAGAGGCCAGAATCTGGCCTTTCCTGCTTTCCATCCAACTGGGAAAGGTTACTAGGAGCAACTGTATATTTTTAGGAATGAAATATGAGGGGTCGTTTAACTTAAGAGATCTGATATCAATCAGAAGAAACTTCCAGAGAATTTGTTTTGAAGTGCACTCTATTTTCTCTTCTTTGGTAACTGAGATTGATATGCTTGGGAGGTGACTTAATGTTGTGCTGGGCTTTGTTACACTAATTTAAAAGAGTTTCAGCAAAGAGTGAATCTCAGAGGAAAAGAAATGCTGATACTGAAAGTGAATCACAGTCCTTGATTCCATCAATTGAGACTCTTAAAGAGTTGTTTTTTTTTACATACCAGGAAAGATTTTGTAAAAGGTTTCAAAATTGCACCTTTAGTCTGCATCCTCAAATTGAAGGTGCCAAAAAGATTTCTTCCAGAAACCTCCACAATAAGTTGTGGGTGTTTTTTAAACAAATTAATCCAATGAAAAATGGAATTTTTGCTGAGCTGTGGATTACTCCCCTGGTTCTCTGAAGGCTGTCAAGCAAACTACTCTGTAACTCATGAAGCCCCATCTCTCTCTTCTTTCAGGAAATAAATTATCTTTATTCAGTGTTTATGTTGTATATTGTCTAGGAGATTTTGGTATAGAGTAATTAATTGTGAACTTCTCAAATGTGACTTACTAACCAGCTTTCATCCAGAGGTGAGATGGAATTGTTTTCTGATCAGTATGACAGCAGATGATTTAGTTTTTTTCAAATCAAATGTTTGCCTAGAATCAGATCATAGAGTCCAACCATTAACCCAACACTTCCCAGTCCTCCACAAGCATGTCCCCCAGAGTTGCATCTTGGAAATACCTCTGGCCATGGGGATTCAGCCTGGGTGTGCCAGGGTGTGACACACCTTTCAGTGAAGGAATTTATCCTAATAACCTGTCTAAAACTTGCCCTGGCACTGCTTGTGCCACTTTCCTCTTGTCCTTTTGCATATTACTTGGGACACCAACCCCACCTGGTCCCAACTTCCGTTCAGGTGGTTGTGGAGAGTGATGAGGTTCTTTTTCTCCTGGCTGAACACCCTCAACTCCCTCAGCTGCTCCTCAAAGGACTTGTTCTCTGTGCCTTTACCCGCTTCACCTTCCAGAAGATGCTAGAGCATGCAAAAGAACTGGGATTCAGGCTTTTTGTAGTAGTGCCTGTATGGGATTTTTTTGTGTGTTTGTTTTTCTTACAAAACTTTATCATTGTAATACAAATGATTTACTGATGTTAACAGAGGATAAAATACTAATTTCAGTGCAGCCTGAGGCTATCATGATCTATTCAGTGCTGTCATCTAGTTTTATTGAGAGATATGTGATATAGCACTAGAAAACGAGTTTGAACATCAGAAGATGTGTTACTGTTGGAAAACATAGGAATGGAATATGTCAGATAAGAGTTATGCCAGAATAAGTGTGCTCGAGCACTGGATCCTCAAGCCAGTGGCCTTTTCCTGAAATAGGTGGTATGATGTTGCCTGTTGTTGCTGTTACCAAAATTCCTTGTCTGCTTCTGTTCTCAGAATGATTATTCTCTTAATATTTGCAAGGCAAGTTCCCTGTCATGTTACAGATTTCCCTATTTAGTGGTGTAGTAAAGAAAGTGTGAGCATTGAACACTTCCAGCAGCATAATTCCTAGAGCTGGAAGGAAAGCTGTGAATTTGCACTCTTAATCTCAACTGAGGTCTGTTTCAAGATTCTTATCTTCACCACACACACTGCAACTAGACTTTGATTAAAGTAATGCTATCAGGTTGAAGTTTAATTGGCTCTATGCTAATTATATGTATTTTAAATTGTTAGTGGACTCCATACATAAATGTCAGTGAGATGGTGAAGGAGGTGGAAAGAAGAGCTGTGGTGGTGATTAGAGGAGGCTGAGTTGAGTTTTTCATAGGATTAATACTTTCCAAATTGGAGAATGTAAGATTGAAAGTGAAGGGCACAGTCCTTGTTGAGGGAGAGTAGTGGAGTGATCCTAATGCAGAATCTCATTAAAGCAACTGTCAGGATTCCTCTATTTTGCCATCACCTCCCCTTTTCTATAAGAGTCAGCTGTCGTGTGGAGTGAGCATACTGCCAAAGAGGCATTTACAAATAAATGAAAAATGTCACAATTGATTTTGCTCCTTTCAGAGGACTCTGTGTCAGCTTTGTCACAAACCCTTTGTTATTCTCTCTTTCAGATCTCTTGTCTGGACTTTGGAAATAACTTTGGTTCTTGGATTCCTTCTGTTGACCCGTGGTAAGCTCCCTGGATTATGAGTTTTTATTAACATTTGTGCAACAGTTAAATAACATTGACTTTTCAGGGCCTATGAAGGGTGAAATGCTAGAAGTTCTTACCAATTACCTTATGTGTGTGTATAGAGGCTGCATAATACAATCCCTGCTTGAAAATACCACTAAAAATCAGATTTATTTTGTAGTTTCTCTTACAGAAGTATTTGCACATTATGGTAATTACTTTGCAATATGTTGTGTGCCATGGTAGTAGCCACATAAAATATGAATAGCTATATGGTTTTATTTGTTTCTAAAGAATATGTACTCCTAAGGTTGATAGTGTTCTTTTCTACCATATTTATAATTTCTCACTCTTTCAGTGTATGTTAGATGGTTATAGTGCATTTTCCTATTTGGGAGGAGATCAAAAAGTTGTTTTTCTTATGTACTTGCTGGCTGGATAAGTGAAATGATATGCAATATCAGTCTGCCCCTTTTAATGCAAAAGTGTTACCATGAGGTGGGATATCTGTTGAAATGCCATTATAAGAAATAGTTGATGGTTTAGATTTGAAGTATCTAAACCACAATTGAATCTAAAAAAAAACAGGCTTAGTTATTTTTTCCTTGAACTTCAGTATTTAAGATTGCAATAAAAAATACAGCGTTTTAGTAAAATTGCTGTGAAACTTCATTAATATCCAGAAAAATACCTGTGATCTTTTAAATGAAGATTTCTGAAGACTGACTGAGTGCTACCTTTAAGAGTAAATTTTGTCCTTGCTGCATTTTCTGTGATGTCCAGGAAGTATAAAATGTAGATAATAATAGGACAAGGAATCACCACTTTCCACTAACTTTAACAAACTCCCACCATATAGAAATAATTGATTTGTGATGGTTTTGTATTTCTAAAGGGATTCTTCAACAGCAGTTCACACATATTTTGCAATCTGGCAAACAACCAAAAATCCCTCTTTCAATGAAGGTTTTTTTCATAGCATATGAAAGAAAAACTTGCTGCATTTTATCACTGTTGCTATTGTCAGATTCTTAAAAACAAGAGACCTGAAGAAAATCTCTTTGCTGTCACTTTTGTACTCCAGAAACTCCTAAGAAGTTAGGGAAGTATTGGATTATGTAAGGAAAACAAGAAGGATTCATGGTGTCACCTGACTTATGTGCACATTTTGCTTCTTTTCCCCCTTTCCTTGGAATTTTAATGTAGCTTGATGAGCTCTATTTCAGCAGTGTAGAAATCTCCTTGCATTGGTGTATGCATATTTGTCAGCTCTTTAAGCATTTTAATGCATTACATTTCATACCTTTGCTGTTCTGATATACCTTTTGCTTAGTTAGAATGAAATGTGTTGAATTTGTTCTGAAATAAAATTTTAAATTCATATTTGAAATAAGTGTTGAATTTCCTCAAAGTTCAGACTTTTTATTCTTTTATTAGAAATCAAAACTTCTTAACTGTAACTTCCAAAGGACCCCCTTAATTTGTACTTTGGACAGTTTTTTTACATGGTAGTTTGTGGCAAAGCTCTGTAGGGCAGTTTCTAATGCTGTGTTTTGAGCAGAGGGCTGCCCAACCTTACTGTTCTTCTATTAGTATTAGAAGAATAAAAAAAAAATCTAAGATATGGATCTAAAAAGACAGAAAATGAGTTCTGGCAGTGTGGACGATGATGACATGGTCTCAAGGAATGAACCAGACAGTTCAAGGCTGTTATATTTGTGTAATTAATTAATATCACTATATACAGAGATGGAAGGAAGGAAAGCTAGGAGGAAAATAAAGAACTCATTATCAGCTCTATTCATTCCCCAAGCTCCACCCTTCCATTTCACTTAGTAAATTGTTTTGAGGTAAATCTAAATGGAAATCTGTAGCATTTCACATCTAAATGAGACATGCATTTACGAGTAAAGCAGTGCTGCAAAGGCCAATCCAGAAGTCTCCCAAAATGCCTTGGAACAAAAATGTTTAAATATGACTTGGCAGATTTGCAGAAGCTTAGACTTCCAGTCACCAAATTTTCACTGAGCCACATTTGATCACGTTACTGATGTTGATGTGTCCCAGCTTCTGGGAGCTGAACATACTCTGATCCATGGTCGTGCAGATGTAAATATCTGTGCCCCAGCTGTTGGCATGTATGGGAATTAATTCCATATATTTGTTTGAATCTCATATGACATTGCTCTTGAGTGCTGGGTGTCCCTACAAGCAGTGGATGAAATGACATGGCTGGCAACATTGCCATGAGTTAGAAAATAACTTTAGTGGGAGATTGGTATCCAGCAAATAGCAAAAACAGATTAATAAAACAAAGGAGAGATGTGTGAACACCACCACTGCTTGTTCAGTTCACTAAAGAATTTGCAGGTTGGGAATGAGCCTAGGAACAGCTGAAGGGGGATACACAGAGCATTTGTTCAATGAGAACCCTTCATGGAAGTGAACCAAAGGCAGTCCTGTGCTGCTAATACAGATTCCCTGGGAGCTTCTTCTCAGCCAGGAAGAACAGAGTAGGGAAGTGCTCTGAGAGCTGTATCTTTCTGCATCAGTTTCTGTTCTTCAACTGCAAGTGAAAATGTTAGCTCTATTAAAATTTAATTAGAGCTGATGGTCGCCATTCCATTCCCCAGTGCCTCCCCCAGTAGTGAGACTCTGCTGTTCATGCTGACAGTTGTTCAGCTCCTGGACTCAGGATATTCTTTCACCCTATTTTCATACAGATGACTCTCTTCCTTTTTAATGTAATAAAGGTGCTGTATTTCTAAGTCATGGGGACGCTGGTGTCATTTCAGCAGGATGAATCACAGACCTTTCCTAGTGCCCGAATACTTGACTTTTTGTGGAATAAGACAGCTTTTCTGTATATGAAGAAAAAATAATTGATGAAGAGGGAAAGGTGAGGGAAGTAAGATGATAACCTGATCAAAGAGAGAAAGATAATGTTTGGAGGAGTTATTATTTTAGAGTTTGTCAATTAGTTATTACAATTTCACTTTTAGAAGATCTACTTAAAAAATCCTGAAGATCATTCCTAGTTTTCAGTTTCTGTTTTCAGTCCTAGTTCCAGTTTTTAGCGCCTCCTCTGATTTGCACCATGTTATTTTTTAAATTAAATTCGATGTCATTCCATTGACTTTAGAGAGGTCACTCATACAATAAACAAATCGTTCCTCACCTCTTTCTATCTGAGCCTCTGCTCTGTGCTGCTGCCCCCTTTTAACTGTTACAAAACACTTATTATCCAGCTGGTGTCCTCTGAAGTGTTTTGTGTCAGTTTTATAAATTTGAAGTGATATAATAGAGCTCACAGCAGAAAGGACATGTGGAGAAGACAATGCTAACAAACAATTTGCAGCTCCTCATTGCCATGGCTGAATGAGTTGGTTTTAGGTAATTTGCTATTCAAACAGGAATAATGAGGTTAAATGTGTTTTACTCCGTTTTCATTGTGGCACAATGGTCAAGCTTGAACCACTTAATATGAGGGGGTTGGACAAGGCAAAGAAAATTGCTAATCATGTGCTTAATTGATCATTCTCTCACCATTGCCTGTAGCTGTTCCTTGTTAACGATGGTCTGAGATTAACCATCAGAAAATAACTGAGACCATACAGGAACATACCATGGGGCAACTTAATGGAGAAATGGTTCAATTGCTGCCAGCTCAACAGAGCAAAATCAGGGGATGAAGCTCTTGTGCTGAGCCCTAGAAACTTGAGTTTTTGGTCAAAACCTGACTTGAAATGCATGTGGTGTGATCATCTCTGCATAGTCTATTTGGGGGGACAGGGAAGTGCCTTTGACTACATTTCCTGGGGTCATTATTTTAGCAGGAGGATCTTGGGAATGTTTTCAGCACAGAAAAGCATTAGCAGGACCTAATGCATTGTGAGCTTTCTTTATGAAATTGTAGTATTTGTTTAAGCAACAAATAATGATAATTACAGCTGGGGTTGGTAGTTTGTTTTCTTTTTTTTTTTTACATTTCCCAGAACAAAAGTGTTTGAAATCCTATTCAGAATTGGTTTCCAAGTTCATATGCCCGCATATAGATTGGAATTACTGTAAGGAAAAATCAATGAATTGCCATTGTGTTAATAGTATTGGCTCTATTTGGTAAGTATGTCCATGGGCATTTTTCAGAGTTGTAGCTATAATTTATGGGGGTTGATTACAATTCCTGTGTGCCTTCTGTAGCTCTAGAAACAGGTTATGCAAACTTGTCAGCAGTAACAGTGGACTCCAGTAGAGTGCTGGTTTTGCACAATGTCTTCATATAAAGGAAACAAATGCAGCCTTCCACCCCCCACCATCTGTTTTTAGGGGTATTCCCTTATTTTCTTCTGTTTTGAGGAAGAATTTGGCTTAATGTTCTTGAATTCAGTATAATAATTAAGATTTTTTACATTTGTAAAAGCTTGACTTGCATGCAGGAGGTAGATTGAGGCAGCCTGACATGCTGTACTAAAATGATACATAAGTAGGGCAATGTTTTCATCAACAGAAATGTGTTGCTGTTCAAAGTAGATTCTCTCTGTAGGGTGCCATAAAGTAATTAGAAGACCATAACATGATCCTTCAGTATTGTATTAATTCCTTAGAGGGATGAATTCATCTTTTCTGACTGCAGTAGTGCACGACTCGCCATGGAAATGCCACTGAATTATGAAATCATCTGTAAAACAAAGAACAGTTTTTCTAGAGGACCATGTTTATTTTACAAAACTCATAAAAGGCTTATGCTTTTAGTGATTTTTGCTTGTAGCAAACTGGAAGTGAAAGTATTTATCTTAAAATTAAAAATCAACATGGAATGCTGTACTTGGCCTTAAAGAAAACTGCATGTAAAATATTTGTCTTCTGTGAGGACTGAAGACTATTAAGAGGGTCTCTGCCAACACAAGAAGAATGTCTTGTTACAGATGATGAGTTTTTGCAGCTGGTGTAAACTAATCCAGTGATGGCTGCATACTGTAAATGTAAAGCATGAGAAT